AACAAATCCGGGGAAATGCATGCCAGTGTCCGGACGGCAAGTACTTCGATTTCAGTACCGACAAATCCGAGTGTGTCGACTCCACTTATGGTAAGCCATCATCAAACCCTCCCTAACCACCACCTAATCCTTTGCTACCATTCCTACAGACTCTAAGACAGCTATGGAGATCTACAAGATCACCATGATATTCGCCTCGTGCTGCCTGGCCCTGATCCTGGTCATATTCCTTGTGTGCATACTACGCAAGTCTTACTGCCCGCCCCGGCAGCGACCGGTGCAACCACTGGACAACTCGACAATACCGGACATATTCACACTTTTCCCGCACGTAGGCAACTACGACGGCGGACCCCTGGGCGACGGCACTCTACCCCCCTTTGAGAAGCCGCCCACTTATGACGAGACATTGACTTTGATCCGTAATGAGATTGGGATACCGCCGCCCGCGTACAGGCGTAACCCTAACTCCAGTTCCAATGGTAGCTCTTCGGGTGAGTCGACGCCAGATATGTCGGCGAGACTTATGGTGTCGAGGCCTCAGTTGGTGACAGTCAGTGATCAGACAAACAGTTCATATTTGACTACATCGTCGTCGAGTGAGGCGTCCATAGCCGGGCCCAGTGGTGAGTGTCGGTCCAGTAGAGGTGGTAGTGCTCAGGGTATCGATAACCCGGCCTTTTGTTGATAGTTATCACAGTTTTCTTGTTTATATATTATTTTATTTGAATTAAACTTATTTTAAAGTTTAATTGATTTTTCAATAGTTTTTACTCATTATCACGACTTGAAATGCATTTTAATGTTAATTTAATTATAACTAAAAATAATAGTTCAGATAAAATGTGATACTAATAGCAAATAAGTTATTTTGTATAAGTAGCTAGTAAGTTTTTAATAAATGTAAGGTGCATTTTTTAAAACAGTTATATTTGTAATCATGTGAAATTGTCCACATTTTTGTCACACACTTCTTAAGCCATTATAAAGATTGTCATTTTTATTGTTTTTATAAAATATAATAATATTTTATTACCAGATATTATATAATTATAAGACAATAACTCATATTTTTATATAAAGTACAACATCTTAAAATCTGACCATGGTCACAGTTATTAATATGGCCCCGAAAATGTTCAACTATTTTATAAAAGTTTTATAATCATTTTCACATTCATTCACAATAAATGTTGAAACTTAAATAAATTCATAGACCATATATGATACTATAAATATTAAATTAATTTTTAAAATTTAATTATTAATCTGAAATTTTTAATATTTTATTAGTACATTATATGATTTCATACATGAAGTCCTCATTTGTTAGTACAGTATAAAACTTACGGACTTAAGATATTGAATGCAAAGTGTTTAGTGTTTAGTGTTTAGTCTAGGTGGTGATATTGAAAAGTCGTATGTGAAGTACTTTGTTAATGAACTTTCAATTAATAATTTGATTTCTAATCGATTACATACTTATCATCTGTAATATAGAGCTATAATTCTCGTAACAATGACTAACTCTTCATTTTAAGTGATTTTTGTTTTTAATAATTATTTATTATTTGAGACAAATTGATAAGATTGACGTAAACAATTTGTTTTATTAAGTATTTGTTTGTTATTTCGCAAAAACATTAGTTTATAGACGTTTTGATATACAAAACGCTAAAATTTCGATGACTTTCTCAATGCTATCTCAAGAATTTTGTTTACTACCTGTTACGTTGAGAATACTACCCAGGATATATTATTAGTACATTTAAATCTATGTACGGTAATAAAATTTTATGGTTATTTGCATTTATGCTAATATAAGAAGTTTGCGGTAAATTGACATTGATTTTGAAAAATAATTTAATAACGGGTACAATATTCATACAGTATATAACTTTCAAAACTTTTCATAACCTACAAAAATTCAATACATTAATTTTAGTAAATAAATAATTTAGCATGACTTACTGTATATTTTATTGTTGTGGAAACAGCTATTTTCAGGTATGATATGATGGCAATGAATTACTATAATTAATATTTTAGTACATTTATTATCACAACAAGAATTAGATCATTAACTTTCAAATTAGTATAGCAAATACTGTACACATTGGTTGCACTCATTTATTTCATACAAATCATACAAAAATATTTGTCTAATCTTGAAATGCTATTGTTCTCCTTATGATAATCACGTAAACGCTTATATAAATTGTGATTCACTTAGCATACAGGTATATTTTATTCATGTTTACAATATAATAACATCCGTTTTTATGATAAAAATCATTAAATCTAATGAAATGAATAATAAGATAAACACTTTTATTATTATAAATATGTGTCAATAGAAACATAGCTATTAATTAAATACACGGCTAACTGTAATACTGTAAATGTCAAAAAATAAATAATGAGTAACAACTATAATACTGTTAAGCTTATATAATGCTAATCTCCCTGGTCAAACTAATCCAGCATCTTTAGCCATCGTATGAAACAAAGTGTTTGAGTCCTCCAGAAGTACTTTCGGTGAATCAAACTCTTTGATGGATCCGTTGTCCATAACGAGTATCATATCGTAGTCGAGGATTGTGTTCAATCTATGGGCGATCGTAATGATCGTGCAATCCTTGAACTCTTTGCGGATCGTCTCCTGAATCAAGTCATCGGTTTCCACGTCGACCGCAGCGGTCGCCTCATCCAGGACTAGGATCCGACTTCTCCTAAGCAGAGCCCTCGCCAGACATACCAACTGTTTCTGACCGACACTCAGATTACCGCCGCCTTCAGAGATACCGAAATCCAGTTTCTCAGTCAGCGATGACACAAATGTCTTGAGATGTGCCAACTCGAGGGCTGTCCACAGCTCCTCATCGCTGTACTTCTCAAACGGATCTAAATTGACTCTCAGAGTACCGGTGAATAGCACCGGGTCTTGAGGTATGATTGTGAGCCGGGATCTCAGCTCATAGAGACCTATCTCTGTTACGTCCACAGAGTCGATGGCAATGGTTCCCATCGTGGGCTCAATGAGTCTAAACAGGGCTAATGTAAGCGACGACTTCCCGGCACCGGTACGACCGACCACTCCTACCCTCTGACCCGCTGTGACCTTAAGGTTGATCTCTTTGAGCACCAAATCCAAGCCCTCCCTATACCTCGTACTGTAGTTCTTGAACTCAATGAACCCTTTTTGTGGCCAATCATCCGATGGTTTGGTATTATCTCGAAACCATTCCGCCTGTGATTTGCAAAACAATTAGTTTTTACCACAAAAAGTATTATAAAAAAGTTTTTTCTGA